GTGGCTATAATTCATCCATTATTAAGAACTCAACATAGGTTTACTCAGAGGTGACAATGTGGCAGGCTTATCATAGTCACTGTATCCTCTGTAATAAAAGGCTAATATGCAAATTGTCTCCTCTGGCGTTTGACCAGTTGTTCAACTACTATTTATGACATATGCTGACCACCAGGGGGCGGCACAGAACGAAGGAAGGCCCTGGCCAGCAGCCAGCAGTCAGCAGTCAGGAGAAGGAAGGCCCCAGCTAGCAGCTGGAAGGCCTTGATTGACCCTGATAGCCAGCCAGGCCTAGGGACCCTACCCGTGTGTGAATTTTGTACACTGGGTGTCTAGTATACAATAAAACAGTTCCTAATCCCTTGGAAACAAACTATAAGTACATTTATCCAAGTAAGTATGTAATTGGAAACTACAGTAAGTGTTATGAAGAGAAGGTACCATGATAGGTTATAACAGGGAATAGCAACATCAGTTCAAAAGAGAGAGCTAAGTTAGATGGAATAAATAAAGGTTCTTTCTCCAAAGGAAAAAGGGGTTAGAGATGACCTCAATTCCTGGCTAGGTGCCTGGGTGGATGCTGCCTGAGTGATTGGGAATACAGGCTTTTTTCAACAAAAAGATAATGATGTGAGATATAACCAATCTTCAAAGCAAAATACTGTGTCCAAAATTATACTGAAAAGTTTCTCTGTAGTAAAATTTGTTTTTACATTCAAAAGTACTTTCTTCATTTTTAACTGAAATAACAATCCAGAAATATAAAATTGGCTATTTAGCTGTCAAAGAACTCTGAGATATACTCAGGAATAAATAGTAACTTGTTCAGTTACAAATAGTAAACAGGAAAGGAATGATACAAAAATGAAATGTAGGGTCTGAGCAGGGGCCACATAGTGAAGCATTAAAAATAAAGGGTACGTCTTGTATTTATTTACATTACTTATTTAGTAATTACTCAGATAGTATATATACTTAAATACTTTACAATTATTTTTAAAACATTAAATAGAGGCAGAAATGGCTAGATTTCATGCATAAATGGATCTTCTTTTGTGGGATGTACAGTAACTCAGGAGACACTATATTTCAGTAAGTGAAAGTCAAATCTTAATTTAGATCATTCTTTGATTAAACTTATTATAGAATATTTTTATTTGAAATTAACATACACCTTTAACATCATGGAACTAGATATCTTTGAACACAATGTATATAACATTTAAAGGATGAATAGAAAACTGTTCCTGAGGTAATAAAGGGGTAAACCATATTGCCTTTGACAGAGAATTTGTTTGTTTACAAATAGTTGGTAGTAAAAAGAAAGGATAAAACAGTACCAAAAAGGCTAGGTTTTATTTTATCTAATATTTAACACTTAATATAGTAACAACAATTCAAATTGCCTCCTTTTTGTTTAGAGTTGTATGCAAAGTCATCTTCTTTAACTTCTAGTTATCCAAGAACCTCTGCAGGCAACTGGACAGCTTTCAAAATAGCTTTGACATTAAAAATTCCCCATAAGAAATTCTGTAGGGCTTTGGCCTTTTCAGGAGAAAATGTTGGGAGCCTGGGCAGCACACTGAGGAGTGGCCATTGGACAATGATGAAAGGGCTTGATGAACAGCTTCTTTCCCAGCTGAGGGCCTTGAACTCTGAGTTCTGTTTTTAGAAAAGCTAAATCAGAAGCAAATACTTTCAGGATATTTTGCTCCCAGAGTAGCTTTTACAAACAGAATAGCAAAAGTTAGAGTCATAAGGTAAGTCATAGGGGTCCTGGCAATTTCAAAAGGGTAAGATGCTGAACACAACTGGGTATCTTTACAGCACGCTTGGCATCATGGATCACTCCAGTGAAAGACATGCAAACAGACTCCTAGGATTCTAGTGAAGGTGCAAATAAAGATGAAAAGACAGCAATGGTTTCCTATGACTCCACCACCAAAGGCAGCCCTATCAGAATAAAGGAAGCCATAACTTTTCCATTATGTTCCAGCCATTTGTGCAAACTTATGTTCACATGGATTGACAGATGTGACTCTTGTGCTACATTACATTGTAGGGTACCTTCCTATAAGCAGCATGACCATAGATCAGACCCTAATTTTTCTCAACATGTTCTGATTCACAAAAGGACAGTAATAGCAGATTGATTTTTTTTTTAATCCAAAGAAAAAAACATGTAATAGGAGAGTTACCTAATTCTATAGGTCTTAGAAACGTGGAGAAAGCCATTTGCCTCCAAATTTCTCCCAGGTATAAAGCAAGAAATTTCCGCTTATTTTGAAAGCCAGTTTGAACATTAATTTCCTTTCAAAACAACCCTTATCTACACTGAGGCAGTTATTGCTCTTTCCTCTGCGTTCCCATACACCCTGGACTACATTGTTATAACATTTACTGCCCTACAATTATTTATTTGCCTATCTCTCTTCTCTTACTGAAGAGTTAGTGACTCTATACTCATTTTTGTGTCGTCAGCCCCTAGCATAGTTATTGTTAATTCTAAAGTTTAGGAACTCTTTGATGAAGGGGTGAGTGAGTGAAGGAATGAATGAATGGTGAGCATTTTAAAACCAATGTTTCATCTAGGTAATAACAACATTTATTATTTGAGCATTTGATGTCAATAAATGCCTGATACATTGCTACGTACATATATCATTTAATTTAATCCTCACACAAGCCTATGGCATACTTCTTACTTCATCAGTGAGAAATTGAGTCTTGAGGAGGTTAATTCCACAAAGAAATAAGCCCTAGAACCAGATTTGAATCAATCTAGTCTGACTCCTAAATTTGTGCCCTTGCCAACTCTATTATACCGCCCTTGTTTTATTTTCTATCTTCCTAAGAGAACTTCCTAAGACATATTACAGGTAACTTTCAAACAGCTGTATTTATCATTAGCATTTGTGGTTGAAACAAATACTAGTTTCAGAACCTTACAGGTACACAGGGTTACTTAGAAAACATGTTCATCTGTAGTTTCATTACAAGTTAGGTTTCTTGGTAAAATATACTCCAGAGCAACCTCATGTTCCCTTTTCTGTACATGCTCTATAGAGGAACAGTGCTTCACACAATAGGTGTATTAATGCAACCAACCATATACCTGTAAATAAAATTTGTATAACATTTAGCAAGTATCTAAATTCATTATTTAAGGGGAACCTGTTGTGAAATTGTTTATAAAAGTACCCATTTTCTCTATCGTATCTGTTTTTAAAAGAAATCTCGTAACAATATTTAGGAGTTAAAAAAATGTCATTTTAACTAATTTTGTTTTGCTAATTTGGTTGCGAGAGCAGCTTAGGGCAAATATTTACTATTGGATTTCATGTCTAACAAGAAAAGACAAAGCAGCAATAGGATTTATGTCACTCCGGTTGGGTTGTAACTTTGACATTCATCATAATGAATAGGTAAAAATTAAGTGCTTGAGTTACACTTTAGAATCAACAACTAAAAAGAAATATACTTTGGATAATCAGAACCTGAACCAGAACCTAAGAAAAACCTCTTATTTTTCCTCCAAGTAAGAAGGAAATATATTTGCATTCTGGAAGAAAATAAGAAATGTAGATTATGAGTGTCAGATATTGCCTGCTATACAGACTTCAGGAGATCGGTATGCAAGGCAAGCCTCGGTGTGCAGGCTGAAAAAGCATGCTGTGAAAGATGTCAGGGCTTTCTGCCTGGAGCTACTTCTGCATAGTTTGCAAGTGGTATTTTTATCTAGTAATTATGTAAAAAGTCACATAGACAGAAATTCACTAGCACGTGTAATAGAATCACATTTTTCTCTGGCCATTCCTGAAATATGTGTATGGTAGGTTTTAAAATATATGATAGTACAGAGGGGCTAAATCCTAGAAAGGCTTGAATTTTCTATTAGAGAAAAAGATAATGGTGGTGGTGGGATACCATATATTACATTAGATGTGGGTCTTTATTCTGGTTCCCCTATCTGTTGTCAAGAACAAAATTGACTTACCTGAATTTCCTTATTCACCTCATAATGAGGAAATGTGTATGTGGGAATATGTGATTTCTTTTAAAGTTTTCACATAGCACTTTGATATATTCATGTTATACAGTATACATTCTCTCCAAATATATAATAAACTTCAAACTTCAACTGCTTCCCACTCTATGCACACTCCCATAAGTTCTCCCATCTTAAACAAAATAAACAAAACTCACACCTTCATTAGAGTTCACATCTCCATTCAGATTTAGCTGCCACTACATTTCTGTGCCCTTATAGGAAGTCTTCTCAAAAGAGATATCTGTTCTAAGGCTCAATTTTCTTTACTGCCATTCTCTCCCAAGACCTCTTCAATTAGGTTTGCTGCTCACTATTTCCCTGAACCTGTCCCTATCAAGGACACCATTGGCCTTCATGTTGTAAAATGCATTAATCCATTTCCATTCCTCATCTCCCTAGACCTATCAGCATTTGACACAGCTTATATTGCCTACCTCTTTGAAACAATCTTTCTTTGGTTTCATCTTTTTTTTCCTTTATCACAAAATGCTCCTCCTTTGTCTTTATTCCCATCACCCCAACCAAAATCCATTCATATTTAATGCCTCCAATTTTATTATAAACTAGAGGCCCAATGCACAAAATTTGTGCAAGAGTAGGCCTTCCTTCCCCCAGCTGCTGGCACCGGCTTCCTTCTGCCACCCAGGACCCAGGCTTCCCTCACAGCCCCTGCTTCGGCCAGAAGGTCATCCCGAGGGACATCCGGTCTAATTAGCATACTACACTTTTATTATTATAGATAATGATGTTTGTTTTGCAGCAGACATACTTTTCTGATTTTATCTTCTTATCTGTAATTTAATTAGCTTTTATTCTCCGAATATACACCAGTGGGCTAAAGGATGTGCCTCAGAGACATGCTATGTAGTAAAAGAAGCCATTTTGGGATTGGCAGGCCCATTCTCCACAATCCAGTCACTCATCAGTCCTTGTATGTCCTCTGTTGTAGTGTGTTCCTGCCATCCAGTTGGATCAGCTGTCCTTCCTTTCAGCTCAGTGACCTTCTGTGACCCCAGTAATGGTGACTGCCCTTGCAAGCCCGGGGTGGCAGGGCCACACTGTGACAGGTGTATGGTGGGATACTGGGGCTTCGGAGACTACGGCTGCAGGCCCTGTGACTGTGCAGGGAACTGCGACCCTCTCACAGGAGATTGCATCAGGTGAATGTGCATGGCTCTTATTCTTATCTATGTGTCTTTCAGATTCTTTTGAAGATCTGGTAGTGATATGGAAAATCTTGTGTGCCAATATTCAGATTCAATCTTGTATTACCATATTCAGTGAAACAAATATATCTTTATACATCTCTTTTTTATGTGGGTTGTTTTTTGGTTTTGTTTTTTTAATTTCAGAGGGACAAAGGGAGATGGAGAGAGAGAGAGAAATACCAATGATGAGAGAAAATCATCAGTTGGCTGCCTCCTGCATGCCCACTAGTGGGGATAAAGCCCTACAACCAGGGCATGTGCCCTGAACAGGGACTCCAACTGTGAACTACTGGTTCATAGGTCAACACTCAACCACTAAGTCACACAGGCTAGGCTTTATATATCTCTTTAAAGAATCTTTGTCAAATTGAAATTCAAGTCATTTGTTCTTGCAAGATTCTAGAGATGGTCTAGTTTATTTTGCAAAAAAAATTATTCTTCTTAACAACAAATAGGTCCTTAAAACACTATTTGTTTCTGGAAAGGTAGCTGTAAATGTTTAAATATCTACAAAAGTGCTCATTTCATTCAAGTTCTGAGAAATTCCTTAATAATGTCTTCATCATTTTCTGTTTTATTAGCAGCACAGACATAGACTGGTATCATGAAATTCCTGACTTCCATTCCACGCATAATAAGAGTGAATCAACCTGGGAGTGGGAGGATGAGCAAGGATTTTCTGCACTTCGACATTCAGGTGAGACAATAGATATAACGTATTTACAGGTCTGATTTTGTCAAACAATGATTCATAACAAACAGAGAACAGCTTTTGGATCCTATAGTGAGACTCTTTAATTCTGACATTTAATAAAGTAGTGACTCCCATATATATAAAACTATTAAATATAACTAAGAGGTATTTTAATAAACTTTACTTTTTTAATTATTAGAGTAACATAAGTATGAGTATAGAAAATTTGGGTGAAATCCACTAGCACATGTGACAGAATGTGCAACTGGAGTGACAATCACCCAAATCTCATTACTTCACTGTTAATACTTTGGTGTATTTCATTCTCTATAAAACATGCTGCTTTATATAGTTGAAAACTAACAATATATCAGGTTAGGAAATTTACAGGTCCATTTAAAGGAAAAATATTCTTACCTAGTGTAACTTAATATGTACAAAGCAAAGGCTAGCTGTGATCTCATTTTATAGCTTTTTTATAACTAGAAAATAAGAACAATTTTACAAACTAAATGTAAGCCAAATAATAAAGCAAATACAATTCAAACTTGCAACATGAATTGAATATGAAAAGTGATTTTTACTGAAGCCAAAACACATAAATATAATTTTTTGAATTTACCAAATCCATACTATTATTTCTTCTAACTCAATTTTCCTATGATGTTTATCAGCTCCTTCAATTGAAGGGCATGCTGTGGTATTTATGGGATCAGATAATTTCTGTATCCATCCTGCCCCTATATTTTCCTCATAGAAAATCAAGTGGTTCCATTTAGCACTAACTTGCTCCTTAACACAAACATAAACACATGGAATCTTGTATTAGCATTTGATTGTAAAGTCCTCACTAAATCCAAATTAAACTTAAAATAAGTTTTAAGATATTTTTATTTTAATAAAATATAATGTAATCCATATATATATATATATATATATAATCCTAAGTGACTGCTAAGACCTTATGACTGGTCGTTATGAAGCGCAATGACCGCCAAGGGGCAGATGCTCAATGCAGGAGCTGCCCCCTGGTGGTCAGTGTGTTCCCACAGATGGCTAACCTAATGGGGTCCTTCCCCCCCATGCACAAATTCATGCACTGGGCTTCTAGTATAATATAATAACTGATATACACACTTCCTAGTGTTACCAAATCTTACACTTTGTCATAATTGTTTCAGGTTTTCATTTAAATGTTAAAGTGTTACAGATACATTTGAAGCCCCCAGTGCAACAATCTACAAGTTCATTAGCTTCCCTTATTCCACAGAATAACCACTAACCTGAATTTTAGTATTTATCATTCACTTTCATGTTTTATATATATATCATCTACCTTTTTAAGACATTTTTTTTACCTGAATATGTACGATTTTTAGTTTATCCACTCTATTATATGAATATACCATTTTTTATTCTCCCATTGTTTGCCTCTTAGGGTATTTCCAATTTCCAGTTAATATATAAAGCTACCATGAATGTTTTCTTATCTGTGCACTTGAGAAGGAGTTTCATTGGAACAGGGGTTGGCAAACTATGGTCCTCAGGCCAAATCTTGCCTGCCATCTGTTTTTCTATAGTCTATAAGCTCTACTTGCTCTAAGGATTAAATGGTTACACTTTCAATGGTTATATAAATGCCTACATACTATCATTAATTTTGTTTTGGCCCACAAAGCCTAAAATATTTATCATCTGTTTCCTTACAGAAAATGTTTGCTGACCCTTTTTCTAGGCCACAACCTAGACACTGTTGGGTCATGGGTGTGCTATTGTTAGCACATATTGCAAATAGCTCTCTGAAGTGGTTGCATAAATTTGCATTCCACCAGCAAGGTATGACATCCTGTTGCACCACATCCTCATTAATACTTTGTATATATTAAACAAATTTTTATATGGCACAAATTTTTATATGGCACATAAAAGCACCAATCTAACTCATTAATCAGTCACAGTTTAACTCACTTAACAGTTATTGGACTTCTAAAGTTAGTGTTATCAAAGTTATAAATTTTTACCAATTTGATGGGTATAGAAGGGGATTTGCCATTTCCAATTGCCTTTTCCTGATTACTAACAGGTTTGGTAACTTTTCATGGTTTCTTGGTCACTTAGGTTTCTTTTTCTGCAAATTTCCAACTTGCAATTTTCTTACCAATTTGTGAAAGTTATTTACAGATTCATCCTTCATCCAACAAATGTTTATTGAGTACCCATAATATGTATAAATATTGTAATTATAGTAATGAGCAAAACAGACAAAAATCCCAGCCTCTAAAAAGCTTTTATTTTTGTAGATGACAGCTAATAAATAGATAAAATATTTAATATAATGATGTTTAGTATAATAGAAAAATAAAACGGATTGGGATAAGAAGTGCTTAGGAGGGGCATACTTTTAAATAGGGTTGTCAGGGGAAGTCTTATGAAAGGTGACATTTGAGGGGGGGGGAATGTGGAGGAGGTAAGGGGACCAACTATACATATAACAGAGAGGAAAACATTTATATAGAAGACACAGCAAGTGGGACTAGGCCTGGCTAGTTCTGGAAATAGCAACAGACCAAAATGGTTGAAGCAGAGTTAGAAACTACAATTTCATTATATTCTCATAAAGAACTTGTGGCCTGGCCAGTGTGATTCAGTGGTTGAATGTAGACCTAGGAACTAAGAGGTCAGGGTTCGATTTCCAGTCAAGGCACATACCCGGATTTTGTGCTCAATCCCCAAGAGGAGTGTGTAGGAGGCAGCCGATCAATGATGTCTCACTGATGTTTCTCTCTCTCTCTCTCCCTCTCCCTCTCTCTAAAAGTCAATAAAAACATATTTTTTAAAGAGAAGGTTATGTTTACAGTTATATATATCCCAAATGTCATTAGTTCACAAGAACAAATAATAAAATTTAAAAAAAGAACTTATGAGCCATTTAAGAATCAAGAACCCAAATTTGAGAAACACTAATATTTATAATTCCATATCACGGGTTTTTTTTTTCATTTAACATAATCTTATCATTTTCCTAATGGTTTTATTTTAATTCACTAGTGGGAAGAGGGTGGAAAGATTAATATGTAGTCATATTTATCTTTTCACATTTGAAAAAGAAAATATCTTCCCCATTTTTTGCCTTAATGCTACATAGTCTGAATTCTGATTTTAATAATCACTTTTGAAAGCTTCCTGCTATTTTTCTAACACAATGATCTTCATAATTCTTTAACTTTGTCTGCTAAGCTAATCTATAAAAGTCAAGCTTTTAGGACATTCATTAAGCCAGTCTTGTTACTAGGGAGCTGGCAGCACACTAATTAAGCGCATAACATGCTGGCATTAGAATGACTCCAGACTCTAGTGTTCACAACAGCTGTTAGGCCTGTGATGTCCCCAGAGAGCCTCTGAAATTCATCTGGATGAACTCCAGGTTGCAGAAGACATTGTTCAGTTTCCTGCTAAACAGCAATATTTCAATTGGGTATAGAATAGTACTGTTGGGCAACTTTTTTCAGTACAAAAGTGATAGTCAGTTTCCTAAGCACTGTGATTTATTCTCAAATATATGTGCCTACCTACCTATTTACCTATCATGAGTTTCCATAACTAGGAATGTAATGTCCTATACCCAAAAGACACTTTTAACTTCTACCACGTCTTTTGAGGCAGAGAACATCAGATTAAACTTTCACTTTATGTATTATACAACAAAACTACCTTGAGTACCAAAGAACTATAAGCAATGTTCTCTCTCCCAACCTCCCTTTAACATTCTGATACCGAGTATATCTAAGCAGGTTTTAATCCCTTTCCAGATTTCTTTTAAGAAAACTAAGGCTGAAGGCTGATCAACAAAGATTTACTCAAAAGCAAATTTTAATGTCTGATATCTTAATATATGAAATGAGAGTATTGGAAAACATCCAAAGAAAGATATTTAAATAACAGACTTACTTATGTTCTTACTAGGGGCCCAGTGCACAAATTTTGCACCTTGAAAGGAAATGTGGGCCTCGAGGCTGCGATGGGCACAGGGGTGGGTTTTGTCCCATCCTCTGTGCCCCCGCCTGGCCCCTCCCACCATAGCCCTGGTCCCCTTCTCTGCCCGCAACTCCTCTCTCACTGCCGCCACTCCCACATGCTGATGGTGCTGGCCCTGCTCGCACTGCTGACAGCAAGGAGGGATTGTGGCCAGTGCTGGGCCTCAGCAGTGGGTGTGAGCAGTGGCTCCAGTGCCAGCAGCAGGCTCAAGATGCAACTGCAGGCCCTGATTGTCTCTCAGTAGCAGGGGGAGGTGAAGAAGCCCTGAGAGGCAATCAGGGCCAGCAGCTGCCACTAGCACCCACTGACGGTGCCAAGTGATCAGGGCTGGTGCCAGGCGCCAGCAGTGGGTGTGAATGGGACCAGTGCTTGCAGCAAGTGTGAGTGCCTGGTGGGACCATGGTGCATGGGAGCAAAGAATTTTCAGTAACCAACCGATGACAGCAACCAGCACCCCACCTTGGTCTGGCACCCCCATTCACCTACTCCACCATCCTGCAGCAGCAGATGCCTACCATGTTCCACACTCTGTCACCTGCTGCCAACACCCGCCATGTTCTGCACGCACCCCTTGGTGATCAGCACATGTCATAGAGACCAGTTGTTCGGTTGTTCTGCTGCTCAGTCTATTTGAATATTAGGGTTTTATAGAGAGATAGGCTGAAGGACTGAAGAGAAGAACATTACGTGGAGGAATAATATGTGCCATTTGGAATTCTTTTAGGTTTTATAACATGGTGCTTACCATACTGCCCTGCTTTGGTGGAATTATCAAAAGCTGTGGGCTCTTCTCTTAAGTTACTATAATTTCTGAATGAATAATCCTCTCTGCTAGGTTTAAATTAAAGTCAATATTATTTAAAAATCAGAACAGTTCATTTTAAGCACCTTTGATTTCTCTTTCTCACTATTTAATTCCACTGTGATTTGCAAATCTTATTCCCTGATTCCCAGAGAAGCTTTAGAGCCAATTAGTCAATATTACTATGTATATCATCAGAATCCTACTCTCCTCATATAGTTTATGGCCTATAGCTGGCACTCAAATTAATTACTGTTGTTATAATTAATTTTACTAGCTTCTAATTGGTTCTGCCTTCATCTTCTCTCCGTTCTAATATTTTTGATATGATAATGCCAAATTAATTTTCATATATATTTTTAAAATTCAAGTAACTTCTTTAATTTGTTTAACAAATTAAATTCAGGCCCTAACTGCATATCAGCAAGGTCCTCCATGATACCATCTATTATTCTCTACTCAACCTGTTCCCAGGATAAACAATGCCACTGACTCTTCCATGAATACACTCTTTCCTTTCTCTCTCAACATTTTTTTGCTCACCCTTTTATATTCCTGTCAAATTTCTATATGTTAGAATCTTATATAAGTAAATAAATATAAAACATTTACAATAGTATTTTATATAGTAAGTTCTCCTCAGTAAATGCTACCTGCTGCTACGACCACTCAATGTCTATGAAATGCAATACATGAGGGCAAGAGGGGAGAGGTAAAATTATATCTACTTGTGAAAAAATTAGTAAGAATGAAAATCCTATCCATTCTGGTTCTAGGAATATAAAGATGAATATGACATAACCACTGTCCTCAAGGATTACGGTCCAGAGAGGAAACAGATACATAAATAAGTATGAGAATACCGTACATACTGAGTAGACTATGTACAAAGATATTTTGAAAGTCTTCCACAGGGTCTGGCAAATCTCTCACACATAATTGCAATACATAATTTTAATTGTTGGTAGATGTTTTCATCAAAGTCCATTTCAATTTCTTCTTCAGCCATGAAGTCTTTTCCATCTCCTCAAACATGTGACCTCCCAACGAAGCATATTGTACCCATCTTAGAACACTTATCACTGTTAATATCTTTGCTTTAGTCACCTTGCTGAATTGCAAGTCTTAAGGCAAGAATCAATAAATTATTTAATTTCATGGCATTACCTTCAAAGAACTGCCCTACTATTTTATTTCATTTGACTTTTATTGTGGTGAACATTAATTATAAAAATACTAGAGGCCCAGTGCATGGATTTGTACACCGGTGGGGTACCTCAACCTGTCCTGCACCCTCTCACAATCCGGGACCCCTTGGGGAATGTTCAATGCCAGTTTTGGCCCGATCCCCAGGGATTGTAGAGTTTAAACCTGCAGTCCAACATCCTCCAAGGAATGTAGAAATGCACGAAGCAGCAGGCAGCCAGGGAGGAGCCTGAGCCTGGGTCAGACACCACATCACTCCCACTCATCCTGGCCCTGCTGCACCTGCTGCTGCTGCTGCTGTTCAGTAGCACTGCCATGGAAGCAGGAGAGGCTCGTGCGGCCACAGCTGCACTTTACAGCCATGAGCGCGGTGTCTGCTGCCCATTAGTCAGCTGAGTGGTGCTCCCGCTGTGGGAGCATACTGACCACCAGGGCGCAACTCCTGCATTGAGCATCTGTCCCTGTCAGTGTGTGTCATAGTGACCAGTCGACTGGTTGTTCAGTAGTTCAATTGCTTAGGCATGTGTGTGTGTGTGTGTGTATATATATATATATATATATATATATATATATATTTATATATGGCACGGTGCATGAAATGCGGAGGATGCGGGCGGGGAGAGGGGTGTCCCTCAGCCTGGACTGCAATGATGCCAGCATCCCTCACCAGGCCTCTAGCCAGAGGCTCCTCCCCTCCCTCCGAGCAGCCTCTGGGAAGATGCTTGTCCTGGGGCCTCCTCAGGGCCCCAGCCACGACATCTAGAAGCTCAGGTACTCAGAGACTTGGGGTCCCAGATTCCTCTTCCCTGCCAGCATGGTGTGCATCAGCTACATTGGGAGCTGAGCTTCAGGAGCTGTCCCTTATACTGTACTACTTGCAAGTGCAGTGGGGGGTGCGCCTGCAGCGGCAGTGATTTGATGTTTATAGTGTGCCCACTGGAACCTTACCCCCACCCCGCTGCAGATCCATGCTGGCTGAGTCTGCACTATGGGCAGGGGGCTTCCAGTCTGTGACTGAGGCTACCAGGCTGTGACTGGGGGCTGCAGGCAGAGGACACCAGCACCCATAGGGCTCCCTCGGTGTCAGGAACTGGGAAGATCCCTTTTTCTAGGTCTTCCCCTCCCTCTGCACTGCTGGGGTGGGGACACTGGTCTCATGTTACCATAAGCCCAGCATCACTCACCCAGGCCTCAGTCAAGATGCCCCTTCCTTCCCTCCCTCCATGCAGCAGGGCAAGGATGCTGGGCTCTGGTCAGAGGCCTCTCCCCTCCCTCTGCAACCAAGGATCGAACTCTGGGTTCACGTTGCTGGGGCGCCACCACCAGCGTCTGCCCTGGCTGTTATGGGCGCTGCCATTTTTGACACGGAGTGATAGTTAATTGCATTTTACTCTTTTATTAGATAGGATAATTGTTTTTCTATAAGTTATCTATTAGTTGTTCCATTCCATTAGCATGGACTATATTTACTAGTATCTCATCAATTGCAAGCATTAAAATATATCAGTATTTCTACATCTCTGTTTTCTCTTAGGTCATTACTTCACTGGATAATGATGAATTCAATTCAGAGTGACTATTTCTCTCTCTTTTTAATATATTTTTATTGGTTTTAGAGAAAGAGAGGAAGGGAGAGGGAGAGATAAATATCAATTAGCTGCCTCCCACATGCCCCCTGCTGAGAATCGAGTCCACAACCCCAGGCATGTGTCCTGACCAAGTAAAACTGGTGACATTTCCATGAAAAGGTCACTGCTCAACCAACTGAGCCACACAGGCCAAAGGCAGTGACTATTTCTCTTGAATGACTTTTCATGGTTTCTTAGTATTTGTGGATGATATTGTATGAATTACTCAAGTCATAAAGAGTTATGCTACCTGGATTTACTTGATGATTTTTTTTTCTGTTTCTAACTAACATCATTTCTCATTTTATTTCTGTAGGTAAATGTGAATGTAAGGAACAGGTTTTGGGAAACTCCAAGGCATTCTGTGGAATGAAATATTCATATGGTGAGTCTAAAGTCCTTGAATGTTTCTGAGAGTCTATTCAAACTAAGTATGAAGAGTTTCCTAGAAAATGGGAGGCCTGGCATATGACAGTCTCAAAATGTTAAAACATTAGTCTTATTTAATAACTAGAGGCCTGGTGCACAAAATTCGTGCGCCCGGCGGGGAAGGGGAGGAGGAGTGTACCTCAGCCAGGCCTGCACCCTCAGGGAATGTCTGACTGCTGGCTTAGGCCCATTTCCATGGGGAGTGAGCCTAAGCCAGCAGTCAGACATCCTTAGTGCTGCCGCAGAGGCGGGAGAGGCTCCTGCCACCACCACTGCGCTGGCCTCACCTGTGAGCCTGGCTTCTGGCTGAGCAGTGCTTCCCCCTGTGGGAGAGCACTGACCACTAGGGAACAGCTCCTGCATTGAGCAGGATCCAGCCAAAACCAACTCTCTGACATCCCCCGAGGAGTCCCGGATTGCAAGAGGCACAGGCAAGGCTGAGAGACCCCACTGGTGCACAATCAGTGTCAGGGATGGATGCAGAAGATTGGCCAGCCAGATAGGGACTACGGGAGGGCTCCAGAGCATGTCTGGCCCTTCTTGCTCAGTCCTGATCAGCTGGACCCCAGCAGCAAACTAACCTACCAGTTGGAGCATCTGCTCCCTGGTGGTCAGTGCAAGTCATAATGAGTGGTAGAGTGGCCTTAACATATCATTAGCATATTACACTTTGATTGGTTGAAGGCCAATCGAACAATCAGACACTTAGCATATTAGGTTTTTATTATATCGGATATTAAGCACAGTATTCTGGTCTTGGCCTTGATTTTCCTAATGGAGTTGGTGTCAAATGCCCTGGTGAGGCCAGGAGGCTTATAGAGCAAAGGCAAGGTTATCTATAATAATATAGATATGAAGGAACAGGTTTTGGGAAGCATAATATGCTAATTAACCAGATGGCTAAACAGTGGAACAACCTTCCGGATGACCATCCAAGACCAAACTATGACACCCACTATGGCCAGGAGCCCAACCATTGCCCATGATCACCCCGCAGAAAGAGGCCAGGCCACCAACTGGCAGGCTGCGGCGGGTGGGCACAGCCTCCCTCTGCGGGGGAAGTCCGAATCCCAGGTACCAGAGGGAAACCCGTGCAGGCAGCTGGGGGGAAGGAAGACCTACTCTTGCACAATTTCGTGCATTGGGCCTCTAGTCATATTATAAGGAGAAGCAGCAAAGAACAAAAAGAAAAAAAAATGACATATAATCCTTTCTTATGAATGCTTCCTGTTTTAGTAATCTAAAAGGGAAGTCTCTAGCCACTTGGACAATTCCTGTAGCAGTTTATAGGTAATATAAGGCAGAACTCAATTTGAAGCAGTATTTCATAAAGCAGTATTTCAAGAGCTCAGACATTGGGTTCAGACCTATATGGGTTTCATTTCTAGTTTATGGGGTGGGTAACTTAACCTCTACAGACTTTCTTATCTGTAAAATAGAGATGATGCTACCTTCCTCATAAAATGAGATTTTTGAAAAGCACATTAACTTACACTTACTAGATGCTCAGTAAATGGTAGGGAGGAGAAAGAGAATATATGTTTCTGAAGAGTAAGAGGATATATATGCTGAGATGAGCTGACCGCCTGAGTTTTTTCCCCTACTTTCTATGTATATTGTTTCTCTATCTTTCAAATACCAGGAAAATGCAGCATATAAAGAAAATGTCACTGCCCTAAATACAGACTGTTACTACCTTCTAATTCTAAGTAACTTTATGTTTACCATTAAATATTAAATATAAATATTAAATATTAAGAATATCTGATCTTGTGAACATATTATTTTATTTTATTTTATTTTATTTTATATTGATTTCAGAGAGGAAGGGAGAGGAGAGAGAGATAGAAACATCAATGGTTAGCCCAGCTGGCATGGCTCAATGGTTGTGTGCCAACCTATGAACCAAGAGGTCATGGTTCAATTCCTGGTCAGGGATTATGCCCAGGTTGTGGGCTCAGTTCCTAGTGGGGGTTGGGGGACATGCAGGAAGCAGCCAATCAATGATTCTCTCTCATCATTGTTGTTTCTATTTCTCTCTCCCTCTCCCTTCCTCTGAAATGAAAGAAAAGAAATGCCCCTTACTGGGGATCGGACCCACAGCCCAAGCCTGTAACCCGGGCATGTGTCCTTAACTGGAATCGAACCCAGGACCCTTCAGTCCACAGGTCAACCATATATCCAGTGAGCCAAATGGCTAGGGCTTGCCAACTATCTTTAGTGTCTGGGCTTTTTATTGTTCCATAACTTACAGGGCCTGAAATGTGCATTACAATGAAGAGAAAAAATTAAGTCATGATTTCTGAAACCAAATGTTTAAGTTCTTGATAACATTGTATTTAATCTCATAAGAGATAAAAAAGTAAATGTTAAAAACCTCATAAATCTTATCTAAAATTACATGCATATTTCTTCCCTTTCATCAGCCAACTTGACTAAATAATAGAATAAAACTTTTGAAATATATAGTGCCTAATAAGGAAAAGTATTTACTTAGAAGGAATTGTATTTATTATTAAAAGCAAAAAAGAAAAAAAAATGCCCATTTAGTTTCAAAATCAGTCAGTTCAGTGGAAATATCAACTGGTTTTCATTATCACATAGATTCAGTAGCTCTCTGACTGAATTTACAAACAACCACATTGGCATCTTTTAATACAACTGTAGTACTTTCTGCTTAGGAGAATTTGAATGCTCTTAATAATCTAATTAAATACCTTGATCTTATTAAGTACTATACACCTATAGTCTTGGGAAAGAGGGAGGAATGGTTCCACCCCGTTCTCTACCTTAATGAGGGAAAACTTGATTTATTTGATCATTCCTTTAGCAAATATTTACTGAGCTAGTATTGTGAATAGACAAATTCCCTGAGTTTTCAGTCTAGTGAAAAAATACCCTAAAATGCCAAAAATAGCTATTGAACATGGCTATGTGTGAGGCACTATGCTATGTACCTTTCATGCAATTATCCTATCAGGATTCTAGTCCAAACTCTATCTCTAAACAACAAATCATGCAAACACGAACAGTTCACTTAAAACTTGCTTCCTTATACATAAAACAAAATTGGATGAGCTCTTAAGACCCATTCAGAGTCTAAAACTTGGTGTTTCTAAAAAGACAGCTTTCTAATAGTCATATGGATATGGGACCAGCCAGGATAGGGTTCTCTCATTACACACAATCTTTCATCAAAATATAGTAAGAACTCTCTAGTAATATAGAATATTGCATCCACTGATCCTTAGGTTTACTTTCTCTCTCACCCAAACTTATTCCATTACTTAACTCCTCCCCCTTCTATTTCATTGATCTTAGAGCATAATGGAATCATGAGTCATATAAAATACTGGAGCTCTGCCATCATATAGGACAGCCTCCCTAACCCCAGTCAACTTGCATTTTACACCAGAGGAAGATTAAATAATCAATAGTATTATTTAATCCCTTTAGAATACTTAAATATAACCTGGTAGTAATATTTGCTCTTTGTCATAACTTTACACATAATCAACCAGAACAGTATAATAGAATTAGAATCTAAATTAAAATCATGATAACAATTTTACCTCCTACACATCATTCTATTTAGTTGATAGGTGAATGTGTTTAAGATTATACTTGCAGTAGGCAAATGGCTGATATTCTTTTAGAGTAGTGATATGGGAATGAGTAGCAGTTGTAAATGTCTAAAAAAAGAGTATAATTTATATAAATGAGTAGCAAATTGCTGAGCCTAATGATACATCATTAATTCACTTTTCCATTATACTCTGAAGTGCATATTTAAGTTGTTCAAATATCAAAAGATGATATGAAATTTTATGCATTTTGACTTTGGAAATTGTGTTGTTACAGTGCTAAAAATAAAGATTTTATCAGCTCATGATAAAGGATCTCATGCTGAGGTCAGTGTGAAGATTAAAAAAGTCTTAAAATCTACCAAATTGAAAATTTTACGAGGAAAGCGAACATTATATCCAGAATCATGGACTAATAGAGGCTGCACTTGTCCAATCCTCAATCCTGGTGAGCATTAGATTTTTTTTCTATTTTCTCTCTGCTGAATTGCTGTTTGTCTTACATTCTCTGAACCACAACCTAAATAAACTCTGCAAAAAGCATCATTTTCACATCTGAATTCTGGGGAAAGCCCAAATGAAATTCTTTGAACTGACATCAAAAAACGATTTCTCTTCCAGGTGCTGTATTAAAGTATAATACTTTAAAATCCAGCAATATAATATTCTCTGCCCTAAAAGAGAAGTCTCAGATTGGTTCCAGGTGTCAGTAGCATAGAAAACACTTTCATGAATTTATCTTCTACTAACACTTTATCTGAAAGCTAGGTCCTATTACGATGCCCTGGGTAGAACTTATTCCCAAAGGAAGTTCAAATGCAAAATTCCATCTGTGCAAATAATATTGAATTCATTTCTACTACTGCATGAGAAGCATCTGTTTCTCCTGGATAGAAAACAACTCTCAAGTTAGCATCTTATTTTTCATTAAATGATCATTCTGGTTTTAAACTAGAAACAGCAGAAATAGACAAACAAGCCAACAAATAGACAAACAAGCCTTGTAGAATCTTAGAGAAACTTGAAGTGCAGTGGAATTTGCAGGGATTCATACCTTTACACTATATAAGGACAATTGTCATACTGTGTCATAAACTGCTTATTTTACTGTCTTCCTCATTAAGTTTGAGGACAGGATTTAGATTTTTTTTTATCATACTGTCCCCATTACCTACCATTAGTACCTCAATAATAGTAACATAGTTTCCAGATAGTAAGTTCTAGAAAAACAAATAACTTCTTTTTGTTGGTAGTGTTAATCCTCACCTAAGGACATTTTTCTATTAATTTTCAGAGAGAGTGAAAAGGAAGGGGTTAGGGGAGAGATAAACATCAATATAAGAGAGACATGTCAATTGAGGATCAAACCTGCAACCCAGATACGTGCCCTTGATCAGATCCCGAACCCAAGACCTTTGGTGCAATGGCTGACATTCTAACCACTCTGTAGCACTGGACAGAGCACAAATAACTTTTAAAATGTTTTTATTGATTTTAAATGTTTTTAGAGCAACAGGGAAAGAGAGAGAGAAACATCAATTTGTTGGTTTCCTCCCTTCTGTACCCCCACCGGGGACTGAATCTGCAACCTGGGCATGTGTCTCAACTGGGAATCAAACCAGTGACCTTTCGATGCATGGGACAGTGCTCAACCAACTGAGCTACACCATCCAGAGCACAAATAATTTTTTTTTAATTCTCTGTATTTCCATTTGTGTAGTTGCCCTCTGTGTCTCAAAGGCACTGTTCAAACAAGTGCATAATTTCTCTTCCGGATATAATTCCTTCCAAGTATATGTCCAGGAAACCACAGTTATATTAATAAGTCGTTTGTGATCTTTGACACATAAATTTGAGAAAAATAAACATAACTGAGAGAGAGAAACTATCAATAAAATATCTACCTCAACCCAAACCGTCTAAACAGTGATATACAATTCTTGACTATATTTCTACTGTTAAATAGCTGCTCACACCTTTTTTACACCTTCAGTAAAGGATCTCATGCTGAGGTCAGTGTGAAGATTCATTTAAATTAATTTAAATTTTTAAAAATGGAAAAAGAAAACATTTTAAATAAATATTGTTTCAAAGAACAAATTAAGTAATCAGAATCTTGGGGGTTTTTTTATTTTAAAAAAAAATTTTTTTAGAATCTTGGATTTTTTAATACAGGAAATGAAGAGTCATTAATCTGTGTTCTATTTCCCAATAATTTAGGCACAGGGGGCTCTTCCTATAAGCACTTTCTACTATCATGGCAAAGGAAGAAAAAAATAATCCACTCAGTTTTTTAGCCAGACATTGAAAACAAAAGCTTTGACCATTTGAGCCACTCTCCAGGAAGTGAAATATACTTCCTAATCAGATTTCTGCCAAACAGTCAAGGAATCAACTGAGTTCATCACAATTGAAAACATAAGCACAATTATTCAAAGAATTCTTGAAAACATGTTTACTCACTTTGAAGAAAACACTGGAACTTGCCAAAGCAAAACCAGACACTCTTTCATTTCACTTTGTTTTTCCATTTTTACAAGTTCAATAGCTAAGAGCAAAGAAAGCTGATAAGAAAATTCTGAAACCTTAATAGGCCAACTTGCTTCCTTTGCTACTTTTGAAAAAGAGCAATCTAATTTGAGCAATATAATTTGGCATCCCTGCAAATTCATCCATTCCTATATTCATGTATACTTTTAGTCATTCATTAATTTTATGTTTTAGAATGTCAAAACTAGCATTTAAGCCCTGGCCAGTGTGGCTCTCAGTTGGTTGAGTGTCCTGCAGGATTGGGATTCTTTCTCATGCAAAAGCTAAGGTAACCCTTTAAAGAATTTAAATACCTTATAATCCATCATACATTTGTGCTCCTCAATGTCTAAACCTTTCTATGTCATTATTTTCTTTTTATTTCTCTTTTTGTGAAAACACCATCATAGCTATCTTTTATTTAGGACTGACTTGTTTCAATAAACTTTTAAAATAATCCTTTTATTGTTATAGAAGAAATATTTAAATATATTACAGGTATAGAAATTTGGGGGAAATTTTTAAATTTCACATTTCTGCCCTTCAGAGATAATCTCTGTTAATATCTCTCAGTCAAAATCCTTCCAGATCTTTTTTTGTACACGAACATGTCATATTTTTTAACCAAAATAAAATCATAATATATGTAACCCTCTTTATTCAGTTAATGATCTTTATCTTCAATTTTAGTTTATTTTCATATAATCTAATTCTCAGACCATATTCCAATTTCCCAACAAATCCTAAAATGTTCTTTTGAGGTGGTTTGTCCTTGCTAGGATCACATACTATCTGGATTTTAAGTTCTTCAAGTCTCTTTTATTCAAGTACAGTTTCCTTTTATTATTGTTGAAAAAAATTGTTATTGTTTAAGAAACCAGGCCAGTTGTCCTAGAGACTACCTTACCCTTCTATGTTTGTCTAGTTGGTTCCTTGTGGTGTCATTTAGCTTGTCCCTATACCTTCAATATTTTATGTAACCTTTAAAGAAAAGCTTGCTAGAGTCAAGATAAACATTTTTGGCTTGAATTCATTACACTTTGTGTGATATACTTCATGTTGGGTACTTTGTGTCAAATAACATCAGAAGACACATAGCACCTGATGACCCACTATCAGTGTTGCTAAACAGACACTTGAGTGAGAGTGATAACAGTCTGATCTCTCCATTGGGCTATTTTGTTTTCCCTTTTAAAAAAAAAAGTTTTTATTGATTTTAGAGAGAGGAATGAAAAGGGAGAAATAGAAACATCAATATGAGAGAAACATTGATGGTTGCCTCTAGTGAGCACCCCGACGGGGATGGAACCTGCAACTTGGGTATATGCCCTGACTGGGAACCAAACTGACAATCTTTGGGTACATGGGACCACATTCCACAAATTGAGCCACTGACCAGAGCTGTTTTCCCTTGTGAGACTAAAAAATAATACAAGTTGTGTTATTGAATTACTATATAAATATCAAGTGTCCCATTAACCACTCATTTAATGATTTTAACACCAATTGGTAATCCCTTCCTGAATCAATAATTTCACTGAATGATATTTTTCTAGGTTATTTCCATGAATAAACAAGTATACATATATATTTTTTAAACCATGAGTTTAAATTAAATTTTTCAATTGAGTTTTAACATCTAATATTTTCTCTTAATTTGAAGTTTGTTCGTTTTATTGATTTCAGAGAGGGAGAGGAAAAGAGATATAGAAAGATCAATGATGAGAGAGAATCATTGACTAGCTGCCTCCTGCATGCCCCCTACTGGGGATCAAACTTGCAATCTGGGCATGTGCCCTTGACCAGAATTGAACTGGGACACTTCAGGCCACAGGCCGATGCGCTATCCACTAAGTTAAGATAGCTAGAGTTGAGATTGGTTTTTGTTTTTTTTAAATATATTTTTATTGATTTTAGAGAGATAGAAACATCGATAAGAGAAAAACATCAATTGGCTGCCTCCTGCACACCCTCTTCTGGGGAGCAAGCCTGCAACACAATTATATGCCCTGATTAGAAATTGAACTGTGACCTTCTGGTTCATAGGTAGATCTCAACCACTGTGCCATGCAGGCTGGGCTGGAAATTTTTCTTTTATAAACATAATTAATTATTGCTGTGTTCTATAATAATTAATGAAAAATACCAATGATATTACTATAAATGTCTACTGAGGGAGATTATCATATTTCTTTTTATTAACATATAGATAATGAGATTGTCTTTTTATTTTATGTCTGTGTTAGCCTGAGAAGAATTTTGAATTACAAAGTCAGTTCCAGATCTGGCCAGTTCTCACCATTTTTTAAAAAAAATGTATAACAAATAGCCTGGCCAGTGTTACTCAGTGTTTTAGCATCAAACATGAACTAGGAGGTCATGGTTCAATTCCCAGTCAGGATACATGTCCAGGTTGCAGGCTCAATCCCCAGTAGAGGGCATGCAGGTAGCTAATCAATGATTCTTTCTCATCATTGATGTTCTATTTGTCTCTCCCTGCCTCTCTGAAATCAATAAAAATATCTTTTTTAGCCCTAGCTGATTTGGTTCAGTGGATAGAGCTTCAGCCTGCAGACCAAAGAGTCCCAAGTTTGATTCCAGTCAAGGGCACATACCTTGGTTGCAGACTCCTCCCTGGCCTAAGCCCTGGCCAGGGCTCATGCAGGAAACAACCAATCAATGTGTTTCTCTTACATGGACGTTTCTTTCTGTCTTTCCCTCACTTTTACACTCTCCTTAAAAATCAATGGGAAAATATCAAGTGAAGATTAACAACAACAACAAAAATCTTTTTTAAAATATATAACAAACAAACCTCCTATATTCCAAAAGCACATCAACTTTATCTAGGAAGTATATACTATTTTGTATAACCCATAGCTCTCTTCTGATATGTTTTCCCAAATAGTCTTTAAACTTTCGTTAAATTCTCCTTACTATACACTATCACACATAGTGAGTCCCCAAGAAATACTGATTTATAGCAATATGTTAAGTGCCCATGGAAACCTATTCTTTACCATAGAGGGTAGTATAGTATAAACAGTTCTGAAATCAGACAGACCTGAGCTTAAGTCAAAATGCTGCTACCAATGAGAGAAACAGAACAAGTTCTTGATCATGCCAAGCCTTCATTTCCTCATTTGTAAAACAAGAAGAAAAATAATACCTACTTATAAGGTTATTTTCAAGATTAATGAAATAATACATGTAAATCACTTAATAAATGCTTCTTACATGTTAGCTGTTATTGTCTACTTGAGGCCCAATGCATAAATTTGTGCACCAGTGGGGACCCTCGGCCTGTCCTGTGAGATTGGGCCAAAACCAGCTCTCTGACATCCCCCGAGAGGTCCTGGATTGTGAGAGGGCGCAGGCCAGGCTGAGGGACTCCACTGGTACATGTTCGGGGCTGGGGAGGGACGCAGGAGGTTGGCCAGCTTCCAAGGGACCTAGGGAAGGCTCCAGGGTATGTCTAGCTCATTTCACTCAGTCCCAATTAGCCAGACCCCAGCAGCAAGTTAACCTACCAGTCAAAGCACTGCCCCCTGGTTGTCAGTGAACATCATAGAGACTGGCTGACTGGTCAACTGTCTGCCCCCTGGTGGTCAGTGCACATCATAGCGAGCAGTTGAGCAGCCTTAGTGTATCATTAGCATATTACGCTTTGATTGATTGAACGGAAGACCAGATGACCAGATGCTTAGCATATTAGGCTTTTATTATATAGAATTGCTCCCAATTCCAACCTTGAATATATAAAACCATTAACTATGCATACATAAAACTGCTGAAATCACATCTCCCCTTCAATAAATTATGATACTATATAGCTCCTTTTGTTCTCTTTTAGGTTTGGAGTACCTTGTAGCAGGACATGAGGATGTAAGAACAGGCAAACTAATTGTGAATATGAAAAGTTTTGTTCAGCGCTGGAAACCATCTCTTGGTAGAAAAGTCATGGATATTTTAAAAAGAGAGTGCAAGTAGCAATAAAGGTGCATGGCACATAATGGCACTTCTCTATGGATAAAACACAAGCTTGGTGGAAAGGAGAACTCAATAATGAAACTGGAATATTTTTAAGTGCCAAAATGTATAGAAATGTTCCAATGCATGGGCCTTGTCTATCTCTTTGGGCCCATGTTTAAATACACTTTGTTTCATAAAGAGAAATGAAAAAAAAAATCTATGCTGATACCTGTTTTCTATAGAATTGATTCTGAAATTCATAGCTATTAAGAATCTTTTAATGACAGTATGATATTTAACAATAATCCATTAAGGGCAATAAATATAACAAGGACTTCTCCCAGCTTTGGATGTTACTTACTTTAATTAATAAGATTTTAAGGAATCCCAACCCTTCTGTCAGAAAAGGTGTCTCTTAAAAAGAGCCTTTTCTTGTGTGATGTGTGTGAACTTTGGCCTATGGTGTGTTAAGAGGAACCTCTCCACATTTATATAGTATTTCTCTGTATAAAGCACTTTACTACCTATCACTTGTGTTGTGTGAGTTGGGAGACGCTGTTGACAGCAAAAAAAAAAAAAGAAAAGGGCGTGTGTGAGAAAGCCTACTGAAACAGAAGCACTGCCACTGAATGTGGACAAACATGACCAGATAAAGGAAGTTGTACTATTTGACTCTGAATACTTGGAGAAAATATGTGAAGATGCAACCTTAAAGGAGAATATGTTTTCATGAAGTCTCAGCTTCAGGCTAGAGATTAGATTCCACAAATATCAGCCATGATGAATCATTTTTATAAACAGGAAGACGCTTTAAAATAAGAGAAAGAAATCTTAAGTATAAAAATATGCTTTGGTAAAGAGGAAATGGACTTTAAATTTTAAAGGGCTCATTTATTTGCAATGCACTGTATACACTTCAAAAATTCTTATAGACACAGAATTTGTTTTATTTTTGTGTTTTAGTATTTAAACATGAATATTGAAACAGTTTCTTTCTTTTCTTTATTAACAGTATATGGTCATTTGTATTTACTCATTTTTTTGACACAGTGTATGTGATAGTTCACAAAATTACAGTTTTTTATTATTATTCATCTTCTGTACCCATGTATAATCACTCTATATATAGTTTCTTCTGTATTTGAATATACAAAACATGAACCACAGTACCACATTAATTTCACATACAGAACATATATTTTTCCTGAGGTCCTGTGGACTTGCAAAATATATATGTGTATATATATTGCTTTGTTAATTTTTTAATATGTAATAAAGATATATTATCTCCTGGTTTTTGTCTCATTTTCTGATCAACTCTGAATAATGCTAAAGATTACCTCCTCTAATGAGGGAACTCAAACCTAATTCCTTAAATTAAGAAAATCAACCTAGGGCCTAGTACTTCTACTCTGTTACTATGGGATTTGGGGATAGAGTGGATGTTAATTCAGATGAGTTTAGCTTCTGTAGTGCTTAGACATAAATTTTTTTATCAGATGCATTGCATTTTTATATTGCATTTTCCTTTTAACTAATTCTAAACATAATAAAAGTTCATTGTTGAAAATACAGAAAACTATAATAAGGAAAAATATCTATATTTCAGCCATCCTGTGATAACAGCTGTTGGCTTTTAATTTCTATACTACTAGATTGTTTTTATGCATACTAGTATACATATCTTTTGTAGAATTGCAATTATACTATACATTTTCTAATGATATCTACATTTATCACCTGTAGCAGGTCTCAGCTGCTTTCCTACTCTTATCTTATGTTAGTAGGTGGAACACTTATCTAGTATGATATCAGTTACAAGCAACTTATAAAATATGTTGGTAAGTAATTCATACCAAGAAAAATATTTTAAATACATCAAATATAAAACTTAAGTTTCAAAATTGCCAACTTGCCTTCTTTTTCATTTCACTTTATTTAAAATAACTAACCATTTTTGCCGAAACCGGTTTGGCTCAGTGATAGAGCGTCCATCTGCAGACTGAAAGGTCCCAGGTTCGATTCTGGTCAAGGGCATGTACATAGGTTGTGGGCACATCCCCAGTAGGGGATGTGTAAGAGGCAGCTGGTCGATATTTCTCTCTCATCGACATTTCTAGCTCTCTATCTCTCTCCCTTCCTCTCTGTAAAAAATCAATAAAATATATTTTTTAAAATAATAATAAAATAAAATAACTAACCATTTTTAAAAAACACAATTGTCTATTTTTTTAAAAGAATAGAAATATGTCTATATTCCTGAGAGAATACATATTGTATTAGCCACCATTCCAAAACACATTTATAATACATACAGTGTTTTAAAAGGTCAAGATAGCAGGGTTATAACAGTATTTGCCCTTGTAGGGGAAAGAAGGAGGAAGATTTTTCCTTTTTTATTTTGCTTATATCTGTATTGTTTTACTTTCTTCTGTTGATCATGTACTACATGTGTAATTTGTTTTTTAAAAAATAATTAAAATGCAATCAATTGTTTTAAAAGCAAGTTCAAGGAAAATTATAACTAAATATTTAATTTTGATTGTTTACCAAATTGTTCAGCCTAAATATATCTTCCCAGTCCTCTCTCTCTTAGATGCTCTTTTAAGCATCTTTTCTGGCAACACTCCCAAAATTAGGTCCTTGGTATAATTATTTCTTAAGGTTGTTTTTTTTTTACATTTTTTTATTAAATTATTATCTGTGTACATATTTTAACATTGCCCCCCCCCCTCTTATACATACCCTCCCTCCCCAGAGTTTTGTGTCCATTGGTTGTATTTATATGCATGCATACAAGTCCTTCGGTTGATCTATTATCTCCCCCAGATCTCCCTACCCTCCCGGCTGTAATTTGACAGTCTGCGATTTCTTAAGGTTTTGATTCTCAATCACTTGCAGCATTTTAGCTGCAGTTTTAATTTCTTATGAGCATCATTTGGCTTCCAAAGTGGAAAAAGGGAAAGAAAAAAGAAAACCCTGTGTACTTCATCTGTAAAAGTAAACAACAAAATGGAGCGTAAACTAGCCAGCCCATCATCCCATTCCCATTCTATCCTTCCATCATTCTGCCACGCTTCTATGTACACTTTCTCCTCCATGGCATCTTTCAAAATAATTATCTCGGAACCAAGGCAACAGATTCTAATAAAATTTCCATCTATGGCTTCAGATGAACCTGAATACTTCCTTCAAGAAGTACTGGGAAAGTCTCTCTCTATACTGTGGGGTTGTTAGCAGATTAGTTGCATAATCTCCACATACCTCTGTGTAATTTGCCTGAGGTCAACCTAGACTATGCCCTGTTATTACGTCATTTTCCCCAGAGAAGAATGTTACTAATATTTAGTATTTGATGCAATGGAAATTCTCAGTAATAAGACAATCTTTTAATAGTGTCCACTAAATGAGGTCAAATCTGTGGGGATGTGACCAGAAGTCCAAAAAGCAATGTCCCTCTGGCTATATTAAACAGAGAGCAAGGCCTCTTATGGATAAACATAGTTCTTTGGGATACTTTGGATTCTTGTCAAATAAATCCTTTTCTGAATGATTAGAGACTTATCAACTCTAAAGGGTGGGAAAAAGAACCTTGAAAATTCCTAGTGCTGGCTGTCCCTTGGCCACTCCCCTGGAATGCCTGAGAACAAGGAGCAGGAGCACCGCCTGGGCTGCTAAGGAGTTTTTCAGAGGCCCCAGGACTGAATTGCTTTTGTGTTCATTGTTTCAATGATAAGCAGTCTCCTAACCGAATTTTATCAAAGAGCCAAAGTTACTCAAGACTTATTTCCCACAGCCTGGAAGGAAAATATTTATGAACAACCTCAATTTTGCAAGGGAGATTGGTATGATAAAAATGGAATAAAAGCAAAGGGGTGTGTCTTGCATGACATGTTTTTTTAAGTCTCTCGAAGAATGATTTATCTGAGAATACTTTTTTTTAAACGATGCCCTTGACTTTGCTTTCCTACACTTTCACCAAAGTGACTTATTTGTTTCTCTACTTTTTGAGCATTAATAACAGTTTGAGAACCACAACATTTTTAATGAAAAAATTATCAGATTTATTATTAGTTGGCTTATATATACCGAATAATGAAAAAAGCAGAGTGTTAGTCATGAGAAAGAAAGAAATATGCACTAGGCCAAAGAGGTATTTTCAAAATTTGAAATGTATGTTCTGTAAAAGGAGGGTGTTAGTAAACACTGAATTTAACTCTAGTTTTATTAATATATTCTCACAGGTGAGTGGCCATTTCCCAAAATGTGATCACTAGTAATGAATTAATTTATAAATGCAAGAATATCCAAGATGTACTAGGAATGACCAAATTATAGTGCATTTATTTGAATAGATGAGAATGCAGCCAGGCAGAGAACCTTACTTACCTTACTTTCCTGAAAGAATAATAGCCACTGTCAGCAAATTTTCACAATATGAGCAAAATGGTCTGCCCAGAAACTTCCTGAACACATCCTTCTCAGCCAGAACACCATCACGGATTTCAAACTCAGTGGATAAAAAATAATAAGATAATAACATTAAAAGGAATTAATACTTAAGAATTTACCACAAGCTAGGCACTTTTCTAAGTTATATGTGTTTTCTTATTGACTCTTTCTAAGCACCCCTGAAGTGCACGCTATTATTCATTTCCCGGATATTGAGGTACAGAGAGACTAACTAAATTGTGCAAGGATTCTCAGCTAATACTGACTGTGGAAAATGGATTTGAACTTAGGCATTTTAACTCTCAGAGTTCACATTTCAAACACTAAAATGAGAGCTGGCATTGAGAAAGGAATGAATGTGAGGTGATGCCAACTGCACTATTTTCCTCATTGCCTGTTTCTTTTAGATCCTAACTGATGGAAGTCCACTAACGGTCAACATGTTTCCCATTTTTTTCTCCATACTGCATATTATAATGTATCCTAAATTCCATTCTGTGATTACATAATTTTCTAATGCCTTTCTCTTTGTTACATTGTCATTAGGGTAATACTGCTTACCATAA